GCCAGGTGTCCTCAGATGATGGATGTCCTCAGACGCCAGGTGTCCTCAGATGATGGATGTCCTCAGACGCCAGGTGTCCTCAGACGCCAGGTGTCCTCAGACGCCAGGTGTCCTCAGACGCCAGGTGTCCTCAGACGCCAGGTGTCTTCAGGACACAGAGCATCTGTTCACATTATGTTTGTGTCGATTTATTTCTGACATGAATCTGAAAATGTTTACATGCATGTTGATCATAATATCAAGAAAAAGAAAATATGAAAAACAAATATCTTTAAACTTTTTAATGTTTAAGTTAGAAATGATAAAAACAAACGACTGGTTGCCCTTCAGCAGCGGAAGCGTCCCTATGAATCCAGAGAACCAAACATTCTGATCAGCGATCTTAGAAAATCACTTTGTTCTGAGAAATAAAGGCGGAGCTTTTAGAAAACAAGGAAATCAGCCTTGAAATGATTTAGCAGTTCTGCTGTGACTCCATTGTCCAAAGATGGTAAACAGCCTGAACTTCTAATCTACATTCACTCACTGATGGGGGGGAGCAAACTGGGTCTTGCCCAAGGACACATCCACACTAAAGGCGGGGCTTGAACCATCAACCTTTGATTTCATTGCAAACTCCTGCATCCGACGCCGCTGTGGCCTAAACTCCTAACAGGAGACTGGAGGAGGTGAGGAGGATCTCCCTGGAGTCACATCTGGGCAGCTCCAGATGTGGACTGAAGACTGACTGAACCTAAATAATGAGTCTGTGTTTGAAGCCCAGAAGAATCAGTTCCAACACGGATCCTTTCAGGTTTATCATTTCTGTTCAGATTAGATTCTGCCTGCTTCTATTACGGCCGACTGACCTTCCTGTTCTCTACCAAAACCACTGAACTCCCTCAGAAAAGTTCTGCCCCACCAAGCTTCAGTCTCCACAGGTTTCCATCTGTTGCTCTCTAGTAAAGATTTGTTTGATGAAACAGGGAAGCTGTGATCTATTTGCCTACTTCGTGCTGTCAGGCAGGATCAGCATAGATTCAGACGCACTCAGGTTTAAATAACTTTCTGTATTCTGGTTTGTTTGCTCTATAAGGGAGTTTGATTCGTTAGCTCTTTAGCGCCTCCTATAAATAAGTGGTGGGAGTGAAATCCTGCAGGAAGTCTGATGGGAGGAGGAGCTTCGTCCTTCAGTTGGATCCATGATGGAGTGAAACCAGGAAAGCGTTACTTTTGTTTTGTTATTGACACTTTCTGCTGTATAACCTGTATAATGTAGAACCTCTATATACAACCTGTCAGGTTTGTTCTTTGTGAAAATTATGATAAAAAAACAAACTAAAGCTAAAGAGAAACTTTCTAACGTATGAAATAAACTTTTATTAGTGTCAGATGTAAACAATGAAACTTGAACTGTAGTAACTCCTTTATTAACTGCAAGCTTTAGCGTTAGCATGCTAACTCTTTCCACACAGCAGATATGAGGCATTTTATCCACAATGGGATATTTTCTCACATTATTTCCTGCTGTGATTTTATTGTGAGCATCGAACAGCCTGGTTCCCCGCGGCGAGCAGAACCGACCGCCTGCAGGAACCGAGACGCTTCACATTAAGACGCCTGCTTCCTGCTTCAGTTCTTGGGTTTCCCGCCCTCATGTGGACTCCTGTCAGCAGAGGAGTGGCTCCAGCAGCAGGAGCAGGACGCAGGCAGAGACCAGGGCGCCCTGCAGTGTGGCTGAGGTTCCCGTGGAGGACTGCGGGGTCCGCCTCTTCTGCGGCGGGCCGTTGCAAAGCGGCGTGTTGCAGCAGGTGATGCAGACGGAGTGGAGCTTGCCGGTGCAGAACTGCTGGTACCCCGAGGAGGCGATGAGGCAGGCTCCTGAGGAGGCGCAGGACTTCCGGTAGTGAATACCTGAGAGGAGGACAGAGACATGAGATCAAGACAGGTGGAGAGCGAGGGGGGTGGGTTTAACCTCCCCACAGACGCCACATCCTCCACGCCGCCCTGCTCACCTACCTTATACGTTTGAAATATATAAGAATTATGCTCGACTATTGCTCGGCTCCGTAGGTTCTCTCTGGGTACTCCAGCTCCCTCCCACACTCCAAAAACATGACTGTTAGGTTTAGCTTCTCTAAAGGATGGACGTTGTCCAAGGTCACGTCCTGACAGAGGGAGTCAAGGTGGAGAGTGGGAGAGTGTGGATTCCTTTAACCAGGGCTGTGGATGAACAGCAAGAACACCTGGACAGGAAAGGTCAGAGCAGGTTGCATGTTCTGAGAAGGCTGGTCACTCAATCTGCAGGAAACTCCTGTCTATATTTGACCAGTCTGTGGTTCCCAGCACTCTGTTCTACATCCTGGTGTGCTTGGGGAACAGAACGTCCAAGAAAGACACTTCCCGGTTGGACAAACTGATCAGGCAGGACGGCTCGGTAATCGGCATGAACCGGACTCGTTACGATGGTGGCAGAGACTTTGGACGATGATCCCAGTCCCTCTCTGCACACCGTCCTCAGGGGTCAGTGGTTAGTGACAGGCTGCTTCTCCCCGAGCACAGGACCATCCATCGTCTTACACGCTCAATCCCAAGCGGCATTAAGGGGTGCCGGGGCCCCCAGCTGTCTACGGGCGAGAGGCGGGGTCCAGGTCTCCAGTCCATCGCAGGGCAACCATTCACACACACTCACACCGAAGGACAATTCAAAGAAGCCAATTAACCTAACAGTCATGTTTTGGACTGTGGGAGGAAGCTGGAGTACCCAGAGAGAAGCCACGCAAGCTCAGGGAGAAGATGCAAAATCCATGCAGAAAGACCCTGGGCCGGGAATCGAACCCAGAACCTTCTTGCTGCAAGGCAGCAGTGCTACCCACTCTTTCAGGGAAATTCTTATTCCAGCTTCTATAGAGAACAAAGAGTTAAAGCAGGATGCAACTAAAGATAAAGATATGAGAGATAATATAAAAAGAGTGAATATCGTACAAAAAAGCATAAAAAAAGAAAAAAGTTGTAAAGTTCTGGAAAATGTTTCCTTTGGATGTAGAAAAATCTGCCTAGTAGGAAAGATACACAGTAGGTGACTTGGACTATTGCACTATTGCTGCAGAGATAGACTGAGCTTAGAAGTAAGTAAAAATGACTTTGGCCTTTGGCTACAGGTAATGTTTAGCATCAGGTGTCCGGGGGGGGGGCTGACCCTTGTCCCTCTTCCTATCACCTCCTCCTTCCCCCCAGTGAGGAGTTGTACAGCTTGATGGCTAGAGGAGCAAAGGAGTTCAGCAGTCTGTTGCTCCTGCGTTTGGAGCAGCAATCTCCCTCTGATCAGGCTCCTCTGAGTGCTGAAGACGGTGTGCAGAGGGTGGCTGGCATTGTCCATAATGTCCAGCAGTTTGTTAAGTGTCCTTGTCTCTGCCACCGTCCCCAGAGGGTCCATCTTCTAGCCAATCACAGCGCGGGCTGGCCTCACTGGTTTGTATGGTATAGTATTGGTAGAACATCTGCAGCAGCTTATTGCAGATGTTGAAGGACCTCAG